GGGGGTGTGATTAGGGATTGTATTTTCTTATTCAACTATCAGCATATACATGTACCTGTTCCTGACGTGTATACAAAGTAATCAAAATGTGACTAGCTCATAGTTTTTCTTAATTTTCCTATAAGAAGGCAACTTGGAAGTAACAAGCTTAAACTAGTTACACATCTTTAGCTTGATCTTTACATTTTATCACTACGAAGTACACAATATACCAAGTTACGTTTGCTCCTAGGTATTTACAGGACTATTTTATAACAGTTCTATAACAGGCGACCGATGCAGAAACATCATAAGGAATTAGGGATTTTCATTTGTTTTCTCTTTTTGGGATAAAACCTCTGCAGCACATATTACTACGTTCGGTAGCGTACGACTTTTATTTCATTTCCAACTCACTTTCGGACGCCCTACTTTACAACACTTCCCGGTTTGCCCTTATTATTAACTAGGTCTTTTTATCTAGATAAAACTATATTCCTATCGGTAATGTTTCTGGTAGGTTCCATTAAATTGATATATCACATTAAAGCATGTATAAAGGGAGGACTCATTGATTATATGTTGGTTGTTCTTACATTTTTTTTCAGTAATTTCCCTTAATAAAAGTGTGCCTAACGAGGCTTGGCTTTGTCACACCTCCTATCCACAGTAACACGGACAGGAGTACATACGCATGTATCGACCGTTGTCGTGTTTACGTATGCACAGAAAACCGAGTTACAGCACTTGAGGTTTACAATACCAGTATTATACATAACAGCCGGCGTTAATAACCCAGAATTAAATCAGGGTCTATATAAAACAGTCTTATAAAAACCTCTGGTGTGGAGAAGATTCATTAGCCATAATGTCTACTTGATGGAAAGCATACTAACAACATAGACAACCTGACATGTTTATTGTATACGATATACGTCATTAAATGTACACTGCATTTTGCTTTCTGTGTTGTTATGTTGAATGACGTCAATCTATCTGTGTTGTTTTTACCTTTCTCGGGGTAGGCTTAACGGGCGATTTAACCATGTATAGCTAAACATAAATGTCTTTATATACTTAATTATGTAAATATCGTTTTTGAATGTCAATAATCTCAACTCCGGGATCAACGACTTCGCAATAGCCAGTGCCATATTAAGACGGATGGGATGGGGTGGATTTACATTAGTCGTCTTTCACGACATGCAGTTAGACAACGCAGTACCGTCTAAAGGCCACGAATATCACGTAAAACCTTAAAAAGCAGAATTGTGTTTTCTTGTTGAAAAGAAAATCAAAATATTCGATTACTCACCTCTGTAGTATATTTTGACGTAATCCATAACGAACAGTCCCTCTAGATATACTTGCCACCATGCCTCCTCTTTACCTGTCTGTGTATGTGAACAACAATTTTGGCTGTCGAATATTTGTTTTCTACAGCCATCTACTGCCTTATCACTTGAGTATATAGCATTGTGGTTTGAACTTTGAGTGGTGGTTTTGGTATTTGGCTCACGGCTGGTGTTAACTATAAAATAATGAATTATTATTGTATATATTACTAATCTAAAGTACTATTCATTGTCACTATTCTCAGCATTGCAAGGTCGTCCGTGTATAAATGTGTTGATGGTAAAATCAAGTATTAAAAGAGAGAAATGATGAGTAGAATTTAATGGAGAACGGATATTGATATAGGTACAAAAATGTATCAAACACACCAAAATGTATCAATAACAAGGACTTTGTTATTATAATGATGATTTCCTTTTTAACTTATGTTTGACTTTTATTTGAAACAGCTAATTATAATGATCCAGATTTCTTCTCCGTTTTAAAATAAATGATACAATGCATATGCAGCTAATACATTTAATTTAAAAACAGCCATAAACGATCAAAAACAGTTTTCACTTATGCAATATGCTAATGTTAGTGCATACCCCATCGGCTAGCTTGTAACCGAATGATATTTATGTCAAAATATTAATCTTTAAGACATGACATCACGTTATTAATCAGAATATGTGAATTAAGCTTTTGGGAAAATATAATGCCGTAGTTGTTCTTGTAAGCACGGTGTTAAGAACGCTGCGAGAGACAATCTCTGCAAATCAAAATGGCAGACTTGGTCGCTTCCACTCCACTAGGTATCAAACAGAGGTCAACGATTGAAAATGTCGGATGATATGACCGTAACTTGATAAAAAAATGTTTATCTAATGATTATAAATTATAATTGTTATCATAGTGTAAGTAATTTAATAAACCAAATCAAAAGAAAATCACCTTAAAGAAGTCACAGAAAATGAACCCACAAAAAACAATCGATCAATAACAAAATGATTGAATAAAGATAAGAGATAACAAAAGGCACAATGGGTCTGCATCGCCCACCTGGTATTAATCTGACACTTGTAACCTTGTAACCTAAAGTGATCTAAAATAAAGCTATAGGCAAAATATCAGTATATATGGCTATAAGTTATTCATAAGGACATGTTAAAATATTTTAAAATATTTTACGGAACAAAATGAATAGCCCTTTATCTCAGCATGCAACTTGCCAAATATCAACACCCTAGACCTTTTGTTTTTTGAGATAAGGTTATTTAAACGTTTATACATATTTGGCCAAATTTGACTTTGAAAGTGAGTCAAGGTCATTCAAATGATTTGTTACAAATCCATTCAATCATGCTACTGGCAAAATATCAGCATTCTATGCTTCGGGTTATTCAGTCGTTTAAAGATTTTGAAACAAATTTGACCCCTGTGACCTTAACTAGAAGTCAATGTCACTCATGTTAACAAATGTGGTAGGTGTTTATCCTAGCAAGCTACTAGCTAGATATCAGTATTCTAGGCCTGATGGTTATTCAGAAGAAGTCATTGAAGATTTTAAACAAAATGGACTCATGTAACCATGAATATGAGTCAAGGTCATTCATTTTAACAAACCCGGTAGCCCATCATCCTAGCATGCCACAGACCAAATATTATATTCCTAGTCCTTCTGGTTATTCAGAAAAAAATCGTTAAGAGAAGTCGTTTTAAGGTTTTAAACATATTTGACCCCAGTGACATTACATTCAGGTTCAGATAATTAATTTGAAGGAACTTTGTAGCCCGTTATCCCAGCATGCTGCTGACCAAATATCACCATTCTCGGCCTTCTGGTTATTAAGAAGAAGTTGTTAAAAGATTTTAACATATTTTACCCCTTTGACCTGGAAATTCGGCGAAGGTCATGTATTTGAACAAACTCGGTAGTTTTCCATACCAGCATGCTACTGACCAAATATCAACCCTCTAGGCCCCTAAGTTATTCAGAGAGAGAAAAAGGTGTTTAAAGTAAACAGGTTGACGCAGGACAGACGGACGGACGACGTACACCGCGCCACGGCATAAACTCACTTGGCCCTTTGGGCCAGGCGAGTTAAAAATGAGATGATAACATGTTTATATTCAGATTTTTCCAGAAATGTACATTTAAATGATTCAACATGAGACTTAAGTACAGTGTGGTACATGTGTGTGTAATCTTTGCAGGGGCGCACGGCGTCTGCACGAACAATTATATTATGATTTTTCCTCACTGGCTTTATTTAGTTTTATTTGTGTTAATTTACTTTACCTCAAGAATACACGTTTGTACAATAAGCCTTTGATTACAAGCTTACCAGTGGAATATGCATAGACTGTTCCCCGTCTCTAGAATATTGAATTATTTAGAAAAAAAAAAACTAATATTTTTCATCACTTGGATATCTGATTTTAGAGACAGGTCAAATGTGGATAAGGTTTGTAATTTGACTACCTGATTACCGAAGGCTGGTCAGCACCTTACCTGTTATTGCTCTCATCCCTTTTTTCTGACTACATACTGGTTGTACTAGTAAACAATGGGCCTATAATTTATTTTGTCATGTTTGTTATGACATAATGCTGATGTAAACAATATACATATAATGATGTTATGTATATTATGTTTGTATTTTAACCACTTGTTACATTTTTATGCTACCTACTGGGTATAAAAACAGTCCCAATGGGCCTGCATCGCTCATTTTGTGTTAATCTCACACCTGTAACATTAAAGTTCAACAAGTTGCTAAACATGTGTAATAGTCACCTTAACGTTCAACCCCCTGGTATGTCATATGCACAGACCCCTCATTAAAAATCGGAATATATATATGTAATTAAAATATATTGAACTTGTACGTAAGCTACTTGAAACCAGGTTAAGGTAGTCAATAATAAAACATCAAGGCAGATGTCTTCATAAACATATCTCACTGGACTTATAACTTGTCAATATCTTTAGTGATTTAGCTGAATGCTACGAAATGACATATTATTTAAAGTTCGTTTATATACCTATGTCATGCGGAGGTAATTTCTCTTTAACTAGGGGTGTGGGGATGCATACCAGCCTCAAAAGTAGATTATTGTTCCTATGGCTTTGTCCAAAAAATGGTGAAACGTCGAACTTACATAAGTTTACAGGTAAATATATGAAAAAACACACACCTATAACTATAAAAACCACTTTAACATCATATAAAGTATCCTTTCTTAACATTTAATGTGTATATTAAAGCGCTAGACATGTTATATTGCACTGTTTAGCTTTGATGTTTATAACATGTCTAACGCCTTCATAATATCACAGAATGTTATTAAATGGCATATCATCTGAAATTTATTTTATATTTTATTATCTTTTTTGAGGAAGGAATTCCTCCCAACAGCTAGGAGAAGACAGATAAAGCTCCGCATGACCTAGGTATATAAATGATCTTTAAATTATTGGTAATTTCTTAGCACTCAGTTGGGTCGCAAAAGCGATTGACATGCTAAAAGTCCGGTGAGCAATTTTTGTATGACAACATCAATATTAAGGCTTTATTATTGACTAGGTTAATCTGGTTAGTTTTGTATTTATCATAGCCTATTTACAAGTGCAATATATGCAAATTACATGTATAAGTTCCGATTTTTTTTGGAGGTCTTTGAATAAGACGTAGGGGGTTCGAATTTTAGGTGACTACAGCATCTATTATAGGGGGCTTGTTGAACTTTAAATGTGGACTAAGATAAAACTATAGGAAAAATAGTGTCTTGACTCAAAGTCATTCAAAAGAACCTGTTAAAAGAATTAAATACATCTTACCCCTGTGGGCAAGGTGAGCTCAAAAAACTAAACAGCCCTTTATCCAAGTATGTTACTGACCAGATATCAACAGTATGTGCCTTATGGTTATTCAGGAGATGACGTTTAAAGGTTTAAAAAACATATGGACCCATGTGACCTTGAATTTAAATCAAGGTCATTCATTTCAACATATTTATTAGCCCTTAATCCAAGCATGCTATCGGCCAACTATCATCATATTGGGCCTTTTGGTTATTCAGAAGAAGTCGTTTGAAGTAAAAAGTTGAAGTTGAACGGACGACGGAATTGGCACCACGGCATATGCTCACTGGCTCTTCGGACTAAGTTAGCTAAAACTGATTCAAAAAGTCATCATGGTTTTATTTACCCGAAACATTCTTGTAATTACAAAGTTTTTTTTTTATATCTGTCTGAGTAAGGCTTTAAGCTTGATAATACATCAAATCTATTAATACTGACCCATAAACAGATAACATTCTATCAGAGCGTTTTGTATAGTTTATGAAAACAAATAGGGCAATCTTAAAAGTCAAGCTTTTTCTATTTCCAGTTCGTTTATAAAAATAAAACATCTGTAACTGCACAGTAATTTTGACAACACTTTTAACCAAGGTCGTTTTCTGAATAATTTAGTTTTTTCAATAATTTGGAAATAGCTTCATCCATGTTCAGACATATCAAACTTTAACAAAACAGGCTCTATGATGTCAAGCCAATACCATATGGACGCAGCGAAAGGAACTCCTCTTGCCCAATCCCCCCACTCCAACAATCACTTGTGAACCCATGGTAATAAAACTGCCCCTGGTCACATCCCAACCACATCTTAATGACCGAAACAAATCAGCATGATCGCAGTAATGTAATATGGGCTTGACCTTTCTGCACTAAACACTATTCCAATGGTGGTTTTTATAGATTTGATCAGACCCTAAGTTCTAAACAGGGGGGGGGTGGGGATAAGCTAGTAGTAAAATGCAGTTGAGAAATTCTTCATAAAATCTTAGGGGCTGGTAGCCAGTCTAGGGTATGCAACTACAACAGTACTATGTATTCTATATTTCATCCAGGAAATTCTAGTTGAACATGACTACTGTCTATTACGTTTGTTGGTAGCAGTGACCTGTGCAATATATGCACATGGACTTTTGGTATAAGCCTGCCAATAGCTGTGTATGATAGTGTATATATATATGCTGAAATAAATGTATTTGTACATGTACTTGTATGTGTGTGTAAGTGTGTATGAGGTGTGTGAGATGTTTCCTTCATGAGTTACTTCCCCTTAGCCTTGTGTTAATATGAATTATTTTGTGTTATTTTTTTCATTTGCAACATGTCTAAAATATTATATCTCCTTGTTTATTCAACTTTGGCCATTTGACGGAGAGAATTTATATAGGCTTTGCCTGTTATTCAATCAATTTATTACAACATCTTGTCAATACAATTTGATGAAATGAACAAAAACATGAAATGAAACTACAACAGCATGCTTCACATACTTAACTACTCTGTTTTTGTTGTATTTTTGTTGTCCTTTAGTGACTGTTGATCTCTGTTAAATGTTATGAAATGAAAATGTCAATGAGTCTGTCTCGAACAATGGGCGGATCGACCTAAAAACTTGAAAAATATCTTTGTCTGTACCTTTGTTACTACATTTTTTGCCATTATTTGTATTTAAGTAAACCCCACCCAACAAACAGTTGCTTCAAACTGTCGTTATTTCTGTTTTGCCTATATCTATTCAAGTAATACGAATCCGACGAACCGTTTGCTTGTTCAGATCCAATGTTCATATCGGATCATACTGTCGTTATTACTTATGAGACCTATATGTGGGACAAGGAAGTAATTCCTACAAAGAAGACTTGATGAGGTCGTCAAGATACACACGTCAAAACGCAAAGCACTTACATTACGTAGACACAAGATACATATAATACGATATTATTAATCTATGAAGACCATAAGCTCCTTGGCTAGGCTATATATATAGAATGTGTTGATTGATAGACTGATGTTTTGTTGTCATTGACTTGCGAACAGTGTTGTTAAACATACCAATCTCCCAACAAATGTCAGTATAAACGAAAGAACAGTAGAGACACATAACCATTGTCACGCAATATTTGAAACATAGCTAGTATATTTTGCATGTGTTGTTTTTACATGTGCATACCTTGAAATAAATGCATATTGCTTGATGCTACATCACAGCAACTGTGCAATGCGGAAGTATAAAACATGAACCTTAGGTACAAGCTATATATTAACCCCTACCAGTTGTACCATGGTTAAACACTTAATGTTTGTGCTATAACATGAAGGTCCATATCAACGTGACGTATATGTTTACTATAATAATGAAGGATAAACAGAAAGCGCACATCAAATCATACCTGATGTGTTGACAATCTTTAAAGTTGATAAGAGACACAGAACCTCCAGCAGCCAGATATTACACACCTTCATTTTACATATACTGCGTACCATATAAAACGAAAGTTTTGTGTCTGCTCCGTCGCAAGCGCACAGGTATCCAATGAGTAAGTAAACGTTCTGCTCTACTAAACAACAAAATTGCAAGGCCATTCGATGAGGTTGTTGTTGTGATTTTGTCAGTATTTTTAATCTTGTTTTGTTGCCTGTACACATGTCTATAACTTGCTTTGATAGTTTTCTACTGGCAAAGAATTTTAATGTCGTATGCATAAGGTATATTCTGACAAGTAACCGACGGGTTTCGTTGGCAAGAAAAGTTATTTCATTATTATAATTTAAATTCAAATGGACGTACATTATATTTTCAAATATAAAAGTGTGTCGATAAGCCTGTCTTAATCTGGTTGTCCCCTACATGTATATGAGTTTCTCTTATCCTGGCTTTATAACCGACATTCGGATCCCAAAACGAGTCATATTGCTGAACAGACCTAATTAGCATAAGTACGTCTCATGCTAATTCTGTGGGGAATACAGTTGTGTGACCGTACAACGCACCAAAAGTAACGTGTGCACACCGTGCATACATCATGCACACAACGTCCACACATCGTCCGCACATGGTGCGTACACATGTGCGATTTCAAAATCGTTCGCCCTGTTGTGTGCTTATCTACGCACAACTGTGCGATTTGGTACATTTTGTTGATTAATATCACGGAATGAAAAACATACGGAAGCTAAGGTTCGTATGCAATAATGCACACTATATATAATAATTTCACATCATCTAATCAAGATTTTGTACAGTTTTACAATGCGTGTTACGCAATATTACAGTGACCGTTAGACTGTCAGCAATGGGTTTGGCTACAGGTAAATAACAATTTGATGAGTTACCAGAGTTTTACATAGCCTGTGCCTGACACAGGGAGATGATATATTATACCGTATGACTGTTATGAAAACACAACTGGACGTTTAGTATTTGTTAGTTGCATTTGGTTTGGTCTATATCTCCCCTTTACCTGGAATTCACACCTCGACGAGTTACGCAAGTACCACGGATGAGGAAAACTACGGTCCAGGTACGTACCTGTACAAAGTGGATACGTTTATTATGTATATGGGACCAACTCCATATTTGTTGTAATTTTACATGTGTCGAACTAGGTCGTTTAAAATACATCCACCGAAAACACCATTTCTAAATTTAAGAAAGTATAGATAAAAAGATAAGCTTTCGATATATCAAAAAAAACCTACAAAATCAAGTTTATATGTTTAAACACGAAACTGTATATATTGTTAAATCATTCTTCAATTTACACCAACTACGATAATTATCGCACTACGATCGTCCATCGTCCGCACAAAAGTGCACAAGCAATGGTCGTCCAGATTTGTTATCGTTTTCACATGGTGCACACATCGTTCACACACCGTGTACACAACGATCCCACAACCGTATAACAAATCAACAAGTCGCAAGTCGATATCACACCTAGTATACCAGGAATTTAAGCCGAGTTACCTACCAACGTTATCTTGGGAAATGTGATAATATATCGACATTACGAAAACATAAATGCGACACATCCATATTTTATGTTGACATAACAGATTATGACGACATCCGTAACTCGATAAGTCGATGGAAGAAATAGGTTCCTACTGTAGTAGTTAAACATGTTTATTATATTGTTGAGATATTGTTTTATGCTTGATTAAGAATAAGCCAGTAATGCATCTGTAACAAAAAATTAAGTGGAAATATTTAATGAAGATTATTCCTTTACAGAAATATATATATATACAAAAAACATGACTCTTTCTTTTCTTTATCAAAACTAATCCCATTTAAAAATATAAACTAGACGAAGGTAAAATCAATTATTACGATCAGCATATATCGCCTAAACAGTTGAGAGTTATCAACAGTTAATCTGATATGTCAATGTAAAATATTTAATAGGTCTCGCGTGACTTTTATAATCATACGTCGATGGGGGTACTATTGAAATGTGCTCCAGACGTGACCGCAGGTAACTACACACCGCGCTTTATCCTCATTGAAATGCAAAATAGACTGATTCTTTAGAAATGAACCTGTATGAATAAACTAAAAAGGTATATTGTTAAGGAATATGCGTGTAAGGTGTTTCAGCTTTGTATCATTCCTAGTCATATACAATGTGTACGCAGTTTAACAGAGTGAATACTTTCGTTTTTGTTCTTTATAAAGCTTTCGCAGATGATATATTTGTCAGGTAAACAACAAATTTGTTTTGCCTATTGCGAAAAGCGACTATGAGCATGCGCTTACCCTTGCAACATCCGTTAAAAGATCAATTAAATCCCTGGAAAGGTCAGGCTTAAGTTTATGCGTATTTGACACATACGCCAGTGCTCTGTGTATAGCTGATTAGCACGGTCACTAGTTTTATATCACATGGTGTGTTAAAAATCTAGTTAGGGCAGATACAATTGGTTTCATTAATGAAAAATATTACATATGGATATTCCTATCACTATACATTTAAGTAGAATGATCTATGACCTTTGATGACCCATACATATATTGTCCTTTGATGTAAAATGTACAAGAATAGCAGGCTTCGTCTTACCTGATATTAAATATCAAAATGACCTTTGGCATTTGGAGACCTACATATTTACCTTTGGCCTATTTTGATCTATAAGATTTGCCAATTATAAGTATTGCTGATTTAAAGTTATCATCAAATCGACGTATGCCATACTGTTAAAACAATATGTGCAAGTGTAATGCATGTTATACTGTCCTTAATAATAATAACCCCTGAACAAATAACCCTAGTTTGTCTGTATTTTGACCTTTGATATATATGTGCTCCGACAAAAAATGCGAAATGAAAAATATGTATGATATTGATCATCAGTTTGACCTGTTCTGACCTAAACATTGATCTCCGATATTTAGAAGTTTGCTTCGATAAAATTTGCGCAAAACTGTATGTTTATTATTTATGTTGATTGTTGTATCGATATTGATCAGTATTATATAATTTGACATCCTGACATTCATTTATGTGCTGTTGATCTTCGGTGTAATTTTGATTAGGCAGAACATGTGTAACTAGCCGTGACATATACTGAAGTATACAATCTACATTAACCATTCATGTATTGAAGATATTGAACTTAAAAAAGGAGCTAGGTGTACATAATGAAATACAAAACATGTACCCAGTGGTATAGAGGTCGTATCTGTGACAAGAAGTGACATTTTGACAATCTCTTAGATATTGTCGGCATCTCATTCATTAGAAATTATTATTGTTACAAAAACATGTTAATCGATATTATAAGAAGTTCTGGCCTGAAAAATGTTGAACAGCTATGTATGTGTCAGTTGATCATATGCTGCCCTGGGACTCAAAGAATGGAGAAATAGAGTTGGCGTTGTTTTAAGCAAAAATCGAGGAGAATGTGATATTTAAGCTGTTGCATTGCAAATCAATTAACATACTTGTACAATTTTTTTTTAGTAAAAAATAAATAAAAAAAATGCACAATGACATTTAAGGAGCCAAGAAATAGCAGTAACAAACTTAAAATGTAGGCAGTGATTAAGCTTTTTTCGGCATAAACCTAATTTGAGCAGCATATATGGGGATTGAGGTGTTTCTTAAATAGTAAGCAGTAATTAATTTAACTTTAACAGGAGGCCCACTTTAACAAAAGGCCCAGAGGGCCTGTATCACTCGCCTGGAAATGTTAGCAAAATTGAAGTTTGAATAACCAAATGTTGCTGGTAGTGTACAAGTATTACATGGCTAGTCAGGGATTATGTGTATATGCAATTGGACAAAATCCTGTCATTCTTACAGGAAAAGGGGGGTTTTGCTATGTTTCCCCTATTGGACCCCGCCCCTTTGCTCCCAGGGGGTCAAACCCACTATTTATACTGTATATTTTAGTCCCATTCATCAAATGATGCTTTATACCAAATATGGTCAAAATCCTGTCATTCTTACAAAAGGAGACGGATGTTAAAGCTATTTTTCTATTTTCCCTATTTAACCCCGCCTCTTTGCCCCCGGGGGTTTCAGACCAACCATTTATTCAAAATTGATTTCCCTTCCCCATAGGATGCTACTGTTAACATTTGGTCAAAACACCTTCATCCAAACCGCAGATGAAGGATATTTAATTCATTCCTCTGTATCCCTTATTGGGCCCCTCCTCCCTGCACAATGGGGGTCAGACAGTACAAACCTTTTACATTCATGTAGTTATTGTGAAAAAGTTGTTGAGAGTTGTGGAAAGTCCGGATAATGTGTTTAATCGATCAAGAAAGCAAGGTTTTCAAAGAGAGCCCGAATAAGTCAAAATGTGCAAACTTAACATCACATCATTATCAAGAAAGATTGATTGATGAAATTATTATTTTTTGTTAGGTACGTCTCAATGGAAGTTGTATTAGAGTGATTTATACACGGAAATTAATATGTTTCTGCTTCAAATTTGTCAATAATCAGTATACTATGTGGCTTATAACTACAGTGGGGAATACACATGTGCAACTTCCGGGTTAACACGCCCTCAAATTTTGTGTTGGTCATCGAACCGGAACAAAACAGAAATGAGATCCTATTCGAAAGCGTAGACATTCTCTTTATAATGGAAGAAAACCGCTATCAATATGAGAGTATTGAAGATATACACATTTGATTATCATGACCTTAAATATATACACAATATATGCCAAAAATGACTCATTTTTCTTCTTTTGATATATATACCAAAACTAAGATTAGTTCCACTTACATATGCACATAGAATAATATGGACGGAGTTTAATACCGTGAAAGACAACAAATGTGGGACCCCTGCCGAATCTGAGGTGTTCCGTCCGTGTCTTCTACCACGGGGGTATTTAGGAATCCTAGTTGATTCGCTGTTCCCAATGCAACACTTAACAAGTATATCTATCCTTTCTGTTACATGTCCTGGTATGTGGTGTCCACTGGTGTAACTACTTTTTCTTGTTTGATAGCGATACCAAAACTAAGATTAGTTCCACTTACAGTACATACACAGTGAATGATATGAAAAGAACATAATATTATTTACTGAGCATATAATCGTTAAAAGT